GCCAGAGAAGGAATTAAAAAGAAGCTATTAGATGAAAGCACTCACCTTGATCCTAAAAGAAAACAAGCCAACAGTGACAGCAGCAATTAAGCAATCTGAGCATAGAAAACAGAGCCCACCGCCCTGACATCAGTGTGAGCAAAGCTGAGATGAGCCACAGAAAGCATTTTATGTGCAAGAAGCTGGCAGTCAAGTAAATAAAGTATGTGTAATTTGTAAAAACGCAACCAAACAACAACAGAAAAACACACATGAACAAATTGCCCTTAGACTTCAGCAGGTGACAGTCTATGACACCATCCAATTCCGAGGACACAGCAAAGTTCCTGAGATCCCCACTTATATAAAAATGGAAAGGCAGATACTATTTGAAGGAGAGACTGCGTTTCATTTCACCTACTTTTTAAAGATGCAGGATATTCACATGATACAATATTCAAAAAGTACACCAGGGATCTTGTGAAAAGTCTCCTTCCCAACTCAGTGCTCCAGCTTTCCCAGTGCTCCTCTTTGTGTATTCAAGTAAAAATGTATCTGTAGATTCCCCTGGGTTTAAAAAAAATTGTGAATGTATTCATGATCTATGTGTATTTGACTTAATAAAAAAAAGGCTAAAAAAGTGGATGGTGGGTTTGTGTCTGTGGCTTAAGGTGGTGGTGTGCTGTTCTCGTGTTGGCGAGTTCGCAGGTTGCCCCCGGGCCCCAGTCCAAATCTGTAAATAAATAAATAAATAAAAATAAAAAAGAAATAAGATGTATGAAGATGAAAAAAATGGTAACACACTGTACCTTGCTTTTTAAAATTTCATATCAGAACTTCCTCATTCTTTTGACAGCTGTATAATATTATGTTTCATTGTGTAACTCTACCATAGTTAAACTTAACTGGTCCTCGATAGCTGGAACTTGGGTCATTTCCAGTGTCTTGCTATTACAAACAGTACTACAGTAAGTACCTGATAAAAACCTTATTTCAGACATGGGCAATTACACCCCTAATGTCCAATCCCACACTGAGATTACTGCATCAGAGGATAAATGCATGTGTGAGTTTTAAAGCTATTAACAAGTTCCTCTCCAAGAAGACTGAACCGTTTTGCATTCATGGTATTAATGAAAACATATTCTCCTCGCCCCCTGAAGTTTGATTAGCAGAATTCTAAACCTCTGGATTTTTGTCAGCAGGGATATGTAACAAGTGCATTCTTGGCACAGTCTGTGTATAAGGTAGACGCAGGAACCCGCACACTGGGAACCTCACTAAGTGTCCAGAGTCTGCTTTACAGACAGCGCCAGGCAGCCGATGTCAACAAAAGAGTCCAGCAGCTTTCTTATTTTGGTTGTTTGAAATGTGTATACACACACACACACATATATATGTTTTATTTTGTTTTTTGAGATGGGGTCTTACTCTTTTGCCTAGGCTAGAGTGTACTGTGGCATCAGCCTACCTCTCAGCAACTTACACTCTTGGGTTCAAGCAATCCTCCTGCCTCAGCCTCCCAGAGTGCTAGGATTACATGTGTGAGCCACTAGCCCAGCTGAAATGTATTTTTTAATTTTTTAATTAACAGTAAGATTGACTTTATTTTTTTGCATAAAATTCTCATGAGTTTGAACACATGCATAGATTTGCGTAACCACCACATTACAGAGTAGTTGCATCACCTCCCACCTCCAAAAAGTCCCTCGGGCCATCCCTTTGCAATCACACCCTTTCCCTACCCCTAGACCCCCTAAGCATCCACTAATCAATACTCCTCATTGTGGTTTTATCTTGTAAACAGAACCTATAAACAGAACCCTATAGTGTGTAACCCTTGGAATTTAGCTCTTTCTGTTCAGCATGACTTCCTGGAGGTTTCAGCCAAGTTGTCACGTCCATCAGTGGTTTATGGCTTTTTACTGCTGAGAAGTATTCCATCCTATGAGGGTACCACGGTTTATTTACCCCTTCACCCACTGACTGACACTGGGGTTGGTTCCAGTGTGAGGTCATTATTAATAGAACTGCCATAAAAATACATGTGTACTGATTTTGATTTTCGTGGGAACATAAAGTTTCTCTTCAGTATAGTTTAGTTTTCATATCTTATGAGTGAGTTAAGGGATATTCTCATATATTTAAAAGCCATTTAGGATTCATTTTCTTTAAACCACTCATTTCCTTTACCCATTTTTCTTTTTGGTTGTTGGTAATTTTCATTTTAGACAAGTTGGCTTAGGAGGACTGACAGGACATCCAGATGGAAATGTTTAGCATTCGGTTAAAAAATGCAGGACTAGAGTTTGAGAGAGATACTGGAGGACACAGATTTGAAAGTCGCACAGATAGAGACTGGAGGAAAAAAGCCATGGACCTGGCCAACTCTTCAGGAGAGAATATGTAAAGCTTAAAGATGGAATCTGTGGAAATACCCCTGTTTAGGATGTAGAAAGAGGAAGATGGAAAGGAAGAAACCAAGAAAGACTTCCCAGAAGTCACAGAAAAAGCAGGCTCGTGCAGGGTAACATTAATAAAAGCTGAATGGTAGAAGTCTGCTAAGTAAAGGGTTCGAATTCTCAGGGCACAGTGTTCGGAGGAAGAGAGATTTGTTTGAGAATTCCAAATAAAAGCCCTGATTGGTCTGTCTGGGTCACATGACCATCCAGCAGGGTCACTGGTAGGAGGGGCCAGAGATCCTCCGCATTGATTGGCTTACATAGGGCACGTGCTTCAACTCCTTAATTCCTCTGAACCTAGATACTGAGGAAACCACCACCTGGTGTCTAGTTACTGGCCTTTGAGAGCAGGTATCATCTAAGTCAGAAGCTTAGACAGCAGCTGTTGGTCAAGTTAAGAAATTGGGGATAATGTGTAGAAAATTCAATCCAATAGTTTAGCTCAAGTTTGGAAACCAGGAAGCTTAAATGAATTTTTCTTTTCTCCATAATTAAGGCAACATCAGTCCATATTCTCATGTGCATGAAAATGAGGCGCATGGAGGGAGGCCGCAGAGTGCAGAGCCCAACAGGGTCATGGAGGGGGACGGACGGCGCAGGGAGTGAGGGGCTGCTCTGAGGAGGCGAAGCAGGTGCCTCACCCCTGCAGCCAGAATGTGTCCTAAAGTGAGGATTAGTCCTGTTGTTACCCAGTGAGAGCTATGCAGGGGCTTCACGCTGCCCCCAGGACGGCGTGCTTAGAGTGGGCTGGACAGTAGGGTTCTGTGTGGACTGGCTTCTGCCTGTTCACTGTCTCCTTTCCAGCCCCAAGGGACGGTCAAGATCCTGGCGCTGGCCTCTTCCCCTCTTAAATCGCAGTAATTGTCTCTTCACTAGCCGGCAGGGGCTGCTGCGTAGACAGGGATCGCGCTTCACTCACATCAGATCCTCCAGCTCTGTGTCTGGCATACAGCAGGCGCTCACACATGGTCCCTGAAAGGATGGTGGATGCCTGCTACTCTACCCAATTTGCTGTTGCCTTAGTGACTATTTCTAGGATCTAATTTCACCCATTGTTTACCCGAATCAGGGGTCATTTATTAGAAACTAAGCAAGAGTAATAAATACAAATAAGCTCTTAGAGAAAGAAAGACAAAGCCTTAGAGTTCTAGTCTACGGCTATACACGCCGACATACAGACCGTGTTGAACTCTAGGTGGTGGATCTAAGAATCTATCCATTACATTAAAACTTCACCTTTTAACAAATTTTGTAATGTACAGACTCAGAGTAGAAGAAAATGGGTGACATCAAGGCGTTAAGGAGGTCTTAAGCAGGGAAGGAAGGGAGAAGAAGGGAAGAAAATCACTATTACAAAAATGGGATTAATTAAATAAAGCTTGGTGCATCTGCTCAAGGAAACTGTATGTACACTGTTTAAAATCTCATCTCTGAAGACCAAGACTGACATGATGGAGCCTCAGTGCCACCACATCCCAAATGTCTCCTCCAACCTCACCAGAAGAAAGGGTCCTCTGAGTAACAATGATGAGCTTGCTATGAACGTGCTTCCCCCTCCAGCCAGACTACAGTCCCAACCTCTGCCTGCCGAGAAAGGAGAGCACCACTTTTGTAAATATGATGACAATACTTGGGACATTAAATATTTAAACACTTAATGTATTTATGTCATAAAATAAGATTGAAAGAGCAATGAAAGGATAGGTATTAAGAAAAGAAATTGAGAGGCCAGACACGGTTGGCTCATGCCTGTAATCCCAGCATTCTGAGAGGCTGAGATGGAACTATTGCTTGAGGCCTGGCGTTTAAGACCAACCTGGGTAACACAGAGATCCCCCCCATGTCTACAAAAAAATAAAAACATTGGCCAAGTGTGGTGATGGGCACCTGTGGTCCCAGCTACTCGGGAGTCTGAGAGGCAAGAAGTTTCCCTGAACCCAGGAGCGCAAAGTGAGCTCGAATCAGGCCGCTGCACTCAAGTGTGGCTGACAAAGCAAAACCTTGTTTCTAAAAAAACCAAAAAATTACAGAACTTATTACAAAAAAAAAAA